GAGAGAGAAGTAGGTAGGTAGGGGAGTAGAGGGTATGTGTATTGTATCGGGTATTATTCGAGAATATGTGCAGCGAATGCAATAGACGAGGATTAAAGGCGTAATGGAATAGATAATAGACAGACAGATTGCTCGATACGAGCTCGATAGATTATCCTGGTGGAAATAATACGTACCTCAAAAGGACAAGCCAGACAGAACGACACACCTTCGCGGCCGGAGTGGGGAAAGAAAGTAAGCACAGGAGAAGAAAGTTTACCCAGCAGGATCCGATGTGATGAAGGAATAATAATGATCTAGGAATAATACCTTAGTCGGTAATTTCTGGCTTCTGCCTGGGTTGTATGGACTGTAAGGAGCATCAGTGTATGGAGAAGGGGGAGGGGTAAGTTACGTCCATGTCGATATCTCCAAGACACAAATTGGGCCAGTTGACCAACGGTGGAGGGGGCACCTGGCGGGAGGCGGCGCCACAAGGCCCCTGATTGGCGGCTGGCCCTCGGATTACAATCCAACCGGGTGAATCCGTGATCACTGCAAACAGGAAGATGCAAGTTTGCAACAGATAAACAGGTATGGAATTATCTCAGTGATCTCGGGAAAACATACTTCAAAGTAACCTGATATCATACTACCTCTGACGAAGAAGAATATGATGATGATGATGACGACAGTGCAGAACATATTCGACTAAGCTCATGTCAACGTGCTCTCCCGCAGAGCCCACGCGAACAATGAACAATGTAACCAGGCTAGAATTTCTCGGATAGCGCGGACAAATTTACCTGAGCCAGCCATGAGACGAGATAGTCACAAACATGAATACGACTTAGGCCGAAGAGACAAGGCCTTTCTTGCAAGATCCTACCAATGGAATCCTTGAAACGCTTCGTCAGTCTAGCCATAGTCAAGGGTACTGTGCAGTAGTCTGCCGCCAGCAAGATTACGAAGCGTCAAGCGATATGGACTCAAGGGCAAATCAGGATCAACATGAATCACTAGTCACAAGATATCCGATATCAGGGTAGTATCTTGGTATCTTCAGATCCCCTGGCATTTGCCTAATAATAGCCGAGACATTATGTGACGGACGGTTCTATTCTCCCAACTCTTCACAAACAGCAAGCAAAGTCCAGTCCCTGAGCTGAATAGGAGGAACAGGGAGACAGCCGCTTGAATGGGCATCTTAGAATCTGCGTGAAGTGCTTCATTCACTAGTGCTATGATTCCAAATGGTGTCGTCAAAATATGTTGACAAATCAGCTCAAGAATGTCGGCAATTCTATTGTCCTTATCTGATGGGCGGAACCATTGTCAATAGTCCCAGATCTCTGATCACTAAAGGCAACTGAAGGCCAATAGACAGTATCGTTATGGAATGGCAGCCGAGTGAGCCCGGACAATACCCCGAAGAGTGAGTACAATAAAATAGTATTCTAGCCGACAACCGATCGTTAGCATGGAGTATTTTATGGCGTCATTCTGTACTCGCAAAAGATCTCGCGCCTTTCCATTTCAGGCCCAATCACAAGACAATGCTGCGCATTCGCTCCGTGTTTGAGAACTGATTCATCTCTGTTCCATCTCCTTCACTGTTCCCTCGCTATCAGCCCCAGATGTTTTTTTGAGATATGACGTACTTAATGCCGCCAGAGGAGATAGAGAGCATAAAATCGACCAGCACTAAAGGTACAAGACAAGAATAGAGTTGAGGGTGTGCAACTCAATGTAGCAGCGTCTAACGGACATGCAGCGTATAGTTGCACATCCCCAGTGCTACCTAAGCTTTGGTGATCTCTTCTATCCTTTCAGCCACTCGGCACCCAACCCCGATACATTCCTGACTCGCCTCGTAGGCTATCAAATCAAGTATCCAGAGCACTGCCCACGTCCATCCCAATCCAGGCATCCTAGAGGGCAGATGACCTGCGAAATTATCGGCATTAGACTTTGGTGTAGTCTTGTAGAGGGTCACTTGAGCGGGAACTAGGGTCGATCAGGGCCGTGCACGCATCCTCACATTCCAGACTTGTCTCACCCTTGATGACATTTGTGCCACCTGCTGTTTGCCTCTTCTCTCTGAATAGACGGTCATCATTCGATAGCCTCGTCATCGTGGAGCTTCAACTGTTCGCTGAGAGGCGATAATGATGGAATTTCACTAGCGTATTGATCCTCTAGGATGCCCCCTGCTCGGGCGAGTGGTAATCCCAGTGGCGTAGATGAAAGATCTCGCTCTGGAAATTGCGCGGATATTGCGAGACAGACATGCAAGTCATTATACAAGAGCTCTAACCTGGCCGTTTTCGTGCGTTTGATGACTCATGTTCTTCCCATCTCGATCAGGAGCCAGTACTGACTCATCCAGACAATCTGAGCAATTCGTCGGATGAAAGCTGGCAGATGGATCGACTAGCCTCGCATCCTAGACGGTAAATACAGACATCTGGTAGCAGTATCAAAAAGTCGATATCGCCATAGGCACGGACAGTGGTCGACGCGAGCACGACTTGTCATCTCCCTTTGATAGGAATGAAGTCCTTGCATCAAGTAGCAAGATGGCTCGCTTGGAATACACACCACCCACAGTGCTGGCGACTATTCCAGAGTAACCTGACGGCGGTGGCTGTAGGAGTGCCTTGTTGTATGCTATTGCCAGGGAAAAGGAACTCCCTGAGAGCCAAGGAGTAAATGATTGCTCTTGAGGATTTTGGTCAGCGTATTGCAACAGGTATGATTCACGGAACCAATCAGTATGGGTTAACCTACCTACTTGATTCATGTCAGAGCTGTTGCCTTGCGCATTGGCTGGCTGAGTCCAGCAGTAACCATACAGCCGAGTACGCGGCCAAGTTGCCTGCCATTGCCTGCCATAGCAAAGCCTGGCATCGACTGCAGACTAAGAAATCTCACAGTTGGCCTGATTCAGAAGTTGTCCGTTAAATGGTATTCCATGTGCTTCTCACTATGGGAACTTCACCGACTGTACGAAGCATGGTACTCGATTAAAAAACACCTTTTTAGGCTAGAGAGACTCGCAACAGGATTCAATTGAGCACCAGTAACTCTGCGGTAACAGCCTTCCTCAATGCAATATGTCACCACTATATTTCAGTTTGTGGCCAACCTTACCTAGAACCAACCACAGTTCATTCATAATATCAATGTGTTTGGGAAAGTGGCCCTCAGATTTTATATTCGCAAATAAACTCACAGCCAAGATGTGGCCCAAACTTTATTTTCGTTGTGTAGAGAGGTATCGTATCCATATCGATACTGATGAGCTTCTCTATCTTATCTTGATGGGCGGCCTCTGGTTGAGTCCCGTCCGAAATGCGAGTACCAGGGTTTTGATTGGGAACCATTGATGGGCTTCATGTTATGATGATTCATGACAGATGTGGCGAGGGCTTTGGGCGTGAGACACCTGTCCATTGCCTGCCTTCGACTCTTGCCATAATGTATGACTATTTGATTCGGTCGATCGACTTGACTTGAATGCGAATTACTTAAGGTAGATAACCGTTAGAGTACGGAGTACGTACTTCAGTCTCCGGAGTCAACGGGACTCATTGTTGTTAAGTTCATGACTAATGAATACAGAACCTTTCCGCAAGGAAGCCCTAACTACCTAGGTCTTAGGGCTGTGGACTCGACAACACTCCGAGGGATAAAATTCGATAATCACTTCTTGACAGAATCGGTTTTCTATTTTTTATTTTTATTTTTATTGTTTCATTTTTGAAGATAATAACCTACAGGAACTGTTGATAAGATAAGTTGCCTTATGCAGAAATTATGTTGCTTAGAACCATGCTATAATAGGCAATTCGGTCTATGCGCTGATGGAAGAGGATAACCCCACAAAATACAGCCAATAATCACGTAGTTCTCGCTACCCCACTGGTGTACGTACCTTACTTTAGGGGTCCGCTGGAAAAACCCACACAGTCCACAGTTGATTTCTAAAACAGACACAAATAGAACAATTAACCAATAAATCAATTAATCAATCATTCATACTCTGGAAATATATCCAAATCAAATTACCCTGTACGCAACATATTAAGAGTAATGAATTTCAGTACTCCGCATTTGACCACGCCAATGGTAACTGCATAACGGGCTTGCTTTTCTTGCAGTTGCAGAGGGCCAAAGAGTCCAGATGCCCAGACCTGCTGAATCCTTGTTATCTGACTGGTTGCTGGGTGATAGACTAAAGGTTCCATGGATGGCCGAGCCCTTGCAGACCCACCGGTTGGTCAGCTGCCAACTTGATTTTGCGGTGGAGAAGAGCGCCTAGAAGAAGAGCGTCTCTGGTGTTCGAGAAGAAAGACTTTTTCCCCGGGCAACCGCCGAGAGCTGGTCACGCAATTTGGTTTTGACTCACTAGAACAAGTTGAACAACATGAAAAATAGTAATTGTGGAAAACGGATCCAAAATATTAGCATATCACATTAATATCAATGACCATTATATTCTAATATGATGACTGGATTATCAAGACAATACTCTTACTCTTGGTGATCAGTGGTCTAGACTTTAGGATCACCCACGCGCAGAATTTGCTTGCCTTTAGTCCCTTCGTTAGTCTGCCCAGCTTAGATAGTGGTCCCCGGCTTGACTCTTTTGGGTCTCCCGGGCCAGTGTATAAATCCTTGTCTCTCTGGCACTCCTCCCCCTCGGCTGCCCCTCGACTCTCTCTGTCTGTTTCTCTCTCTCTTCCCCCCTCGGTGTCTCTCTCCAGATCACTCTATCCTCCTCAGAAGCTCTCAAGAGTGTCACTATCGCGATTCATCATCTTCCCAACTGGGACAGTCGCTTTGCCACTCCTCCAATGACATCACCTGATCTGTTACTCTGACGCGTATCACCATACGCTCATCATCCCAGCCGGGAAATCAAGGAAGAATCATACGATTCCCTTCTATATCATATTTGACCTGAACATCTACTCTCCATCTACCTCAAATCATCCATCATTCAATCCACAATACAAATGGCCGTCACACTATCAACCACTTCGTCTATGAACAAGCGCTGGCCACCTCTGGCCGACAAGACCTCCCTCCCCTACAGGCTCACCACCCTCTCCAAGCAAAAACTCGCTCGCGAGGCCACCGCCCCCGATCCGGACATCAGACGATGCCTCGGCCACTTTCGCCTCCACTGCACGTCCATGGAATGGGCTCAGCGGGATATGACCTCTCGCATCAACTCTTTTGATCTCGATTCCGACTCGGAGGACGAGGAGGAAACACATGATGATGAGGTCCCTGAGGAGCCCGCACCGGAGGTGGAGTCTCCTGTCGAGAAGGCCAGCACTGTTATCATCGCTGAAACCTCCGCTAAAGAGGAGACGACGCTCCATGTGAGCTTTGAAGTCGTATCAAGCGTCCCTGCGTCTGCTCCTACTCCCTCAACATCATCAACAGAACAAGAAAAAGAGAGCCTCCTAGAAAAAGGCCGCAGCTGTCTGGAAAAGACAGTCCAGATGAAGCATTTTTGGCCCGCCCGTGGGCCCTGTCTACCCGTTCGCATCGCCGGGTAACTCGTTCTCATCATCCTCACGCTTTTCACACTCTACTCTTCGACACCGACGAACAGGACGAAAAAGTTCCTCCCCTCTCCATCTCCCATCTTAATACCACTTATAATCACGAAGTTACGACGTTACGACACTCTTTCAGTTCAAAAACGGGGAAGCAGGCAAGCATTAGGCACAGCATACCTCTTGACGAGGATCTGACGGAGTTGGGCCGGGTTTCTGTATCTATTACGCCATGCATTTACTGGCAATCCATTCAATCAGTATATATATAATAATATAAAAATCATAAACCAACAAGACTTGACTCACTCTTCTTTCATTTACAACTCCCAAGCCCAAGTCAACCCAGCCCGCCCAGTCATACTCTGTAGCCCGTACTCATCCGAATACCCGGGGGCCATCCCAGCCAAGAACCTAGTCGTCAGCTCCTAAACGCCTCAAACCAAGAATCTTATGATCTCGTCTCCTATCAAGTTCAGAACAAAAGTCCACTACTCCACAGATCAGCGTCGCCATCGTCCCTCCAAGTCTCCGGCCTCCACAATCCGGATTGCGGACTGCGATTTGCGTTTCGACCCATGTGGGGTCATGAATCCTGAGACCCGAAGTAGGTAGAATTTCTCCATCAATCGTCGCATCACTCTCTGTCAAGTCGTGAGGGTCTCAGGGACCTATCATAGTGCATGCTCCGTAGCCAATTGAGGTTTCCTGGTTGGATCATTTCATGATGATTTGATGGCTTTTTTTTGGGGGGGTAGTAAAACTACTGTACTTGTTTGTGGTGTGACCACTAATGTACATGGATGACTTGTCATTCTTCCACGTACTTCTACTTGTGATTGCATTTGAATCGACGAAATGCAAGCGACTAGCATATATAACACCCATACCATGCAGCCTACCAAGGCGCCGAAGAACAACGAACGCCGAATGCACCGAAGAAAGAGAAGAACGCCGCCGCAAAACTGATCATGAAAGAAAACAAATCAAGCAAGATCATCATCCCATCCCAATTGCTCATAAATAGATTTCTCCGGCGTCACTGGCACCGCCGAGACGATCGGCACAGCCAGTCTGGCGCTACCCTTTACTGGTGTGGTGAGCACAGCTGCGGGGGAGGCGACAGGCATGCTCTCTTGTACGACAGGGGCTGACCTGGGCGGTGTCTCCATCACCGTAGATGATTTGATGCCGGTGGCCTGATCGGCGGACTGCGGTGCAATCGGCGGGAACGGCGCGACGTCGGTGGGTTTAGGGATCGGGCGTCGAGGGACACGGAATAGGTTCTTCGCTACGCCGGGGGATGCGTCGTCTGCCGCGGTGTCCATCACTCCGAAAGACTGCGCCGGCCGCCGAGACGGTGTTTCCTGGATGGCACCCGTATCCCCCAAACCCAGAACAGGAGCAGCCCTGGACTCAGAGGCTGGAGTATTGGAGATGAAGCTGGGTCGGAGTGTAGATGCCGGAACCACCTGTGGCTCACTCGCAAACGGCGAGGATCTGTTCTTACTTGCAGACGACCGCACGATATTCTTGAATGGCGGAGGCAAGCCCGTAATAGCGTCCTTCTTGCGGTTCCCCTTCGGGGTGGCCATGACCTGCACGCCTTGCCCGAACGGGTTGCGCACGGGGTTCTTGGGTTTCCTTGAGCTGCCGCCCGATGCCCGCTTGTCTGCATCCTCTGCGATATCCTTCGCGACCAGTTCGCGGTTTGGCTTGCGGAGCGCATTGATCGCCGCGTCGAGCTCCTTCTTCTGTTCCATCAGCATTTGCACCTTCTTCAGCTTGGTTTCGTGCTGACGAGCCACCGCATTCAGATCCACTTCGCGGTTCTCCGCCCGCTTCGGCTTCTGGATACCTCCTCTCGCACTGACGCTGAGCACCGGCAGCAGCGGCTCCATCGACTCGCGCTTGGCCTCTGATTGCGACGGTACAGTGTTAGAGCGTCCCAGAGACGGGGGTCGTCCTTGAGAGGCCATTTGCTGGTCGGTGAGCACCCGCTGCAAGGATCGACGCGGATTTCTCTGAGAAGACTGCCGCTCAGTAGGCTTCCCAGGCTCTGTGCGAGACGTCTTTGTGCTGCTGGATTGTTTGGCCCAAGGCGATATCGCGCCAGAGACACCGAGCTTGCGGGTGATCAACTTGCATCTGTCCGGCAGACGCGAAGCGTAAAATGGAACAATGACCTCGGTGCAAAAGTCCCGGACGGCATCGCTCTCGATCTTCTTACCCGTTTGACTGTCGAAGGATTTTGCGGACTCTGCTAAGACTGTGTCATCGGTACTGACCGCATGCCAAATGCACAGCCGGTCAAGGTGCAGTTCGAGCAACACATCCAAATCCTGTGGCTTTCTCTTGGATTTGGTCCTGGTATCCTCTGACGGCTTTTCGGAATAATCGTGCGTCTTGGATGTCTCACCAGGCCCGCTCAACTCGAGGGCTAACGTCTCCAAAATGAGCAGAATCTGCAACTGTGTCTCCCGTAGTCGCAAGTCCGCGATGTGCTTCTTGAGCTCTGCGTCGCGCGATGACTCTGCAGGAACCCCATTGTCCGCCAGAGCCCGATCTCTCCACCACTTGCGAATGAACCCCTCCTCTTCTGGGTAGAGACCGTTCTTGCCCAATTTTCGTTTCCTGCTCTTGCGTTTCTTCCGCGCGTCATCATCCGACGTACTCAAAAGAACATCACGGATGGTCGAAGGTAGAGTTTCACGATATTTCAAATCCATCTTCTTTGCGGCCAGAATAGACTCTCGGTAGAAGTCTGCAAGATGTCTAGGTGTATTTGTAGAATCCGACCCGGACGCCTGGAAGGCGGCGCGGCATCGTGCCAGAGGTCCTTTGGCAAAATATGCAACAGAAGTCTGGGGAAATTAGCACATAGACCACAAACACAGCAGAGATACAAACCTTGGAGATGTAGAGAGCTTGCAGGTAGTGCTCTCGCATTGCATCCAGCAGCTCTTGCGGAGATTGCGAGGGCTCGGCGGGCTGAGTGTCCCCATTAGCAGCAACGTCCCCGAACACAGCACCATCAGCATCCCGAGAACCGTGCAGCACAAACGGCATCTGCATGTCTGAGCTCGAACTCCTCTCCATTGGCAGTGCAGGAGGAGCCATCGAGGGCCTTTGCTCAAGCGAATCCACTGGCGATATGTCTTTCAATGTCACGTCAACGCGAGCATCAACTGCCACCTTATTAAAGGCAAGCGAGACATCAAGCTTCGCGCGCTTGGCAGATGACGGAGTAACGGATGTTGGATCCTCGATTTTGGCCTGCTGCCACCATTCTCCTCCACTGTCTGCTCCCAGCGGGAGGTCGGACAAAGTCCCCTCGCCGCACCCGGTATAAGGGTTCCATCCCTTGACTGCAACAAAGATATCTCCCTCCTCCACACCACGAGCTAGCTTCGACAGAGCATAGATACCTCTTTTCACCTGCTCAACAGCGTACAATTCCCCATCAGGGACCAACCGCACAGCCAGAATACACGGCTCAGTCCGGCTCTGCAAACCCTCCTCCAAAAGAGGAATGTTGGCGACGAACAAACTTCCGCTCTGGATCTGCGACAATGCGGCTGGCGAGTCAAGCCATGAGAACGGTAGCCGGGATCGCGGGACGACGGCGATGGGTTCGAGGACGTAGGGTTCGTCTGATAAAGCTGCGGCGTGTGCCTACATCGGAGACAGTTAACGAACGTCATTGCTTCTGTAGCTGCCGTGGAAATCGTGGAACTCACCCTGATACTGATGGTCTGGCGGGAGAGTTCCCCTGTAGCTGCATGATATGTCTTCCGCTTCTTCAGGGGAGGATGGGTCGTAGAGGGATCATGGAGTCTGTTCAGCGAGAAAGAGCTGAGGGTTTCGAGCACGCCGGAGGAGCGACGCGAGGCCATGGACGCGTCTATTGGGAATCATGCATTATGTTTTTGGCATTAGAGAAAGATGGCCTTGTTAAATTAGATATGAGCAGACAATGAATTCAACAGTACAATTGGAACAATCGTCGATTTGCTGTCTGGTGAAGAATGATAGAAATGGATCGACTTTTTACTTGGTGGGGAAGCTCCTTCACAGTTGTCGCGATTCGCGAAGACAAGCTTGGCGTCCGTCACGCGTCTCGTTGCAGCGACAACGACGAGAATGTCTTCGAGTCTGCTTGATTGCGAGCAGGTGAGGACAGGGTAATGATTGAAAAGAATCATTGCCTGTCGTATGCTTCTTCTTGTCCCGCTGTTTTAAATTGCGAATTGTCGACATCGCGAAGTTCGAGCGCTTCACGCGTCACGATTTCCCCTTTGGGTAAAATGTCTTATCTTCTACATCTCAACACTTTAAAAAATGATGACTACAAACAATATATGAATAGATGTATCCATGAATTATTCTATATAGCTAATGTTTAGATTAGCTCGAGACAACGGTTGAAGAAGACCAAGCTCCTTTCAACTGGCCACCGGCATTTCTCCTTCGAGGAGACATCATCCGGAGCACATGGATCCATATGCCACAGTGTGATCTAGCCAGATAGCGCTCGTAGTCTAGTAGATGGCCTCGGAGGAGGCATGTGTTGAAAACTTCCGCTCCCTGAAACGCCGAAAACATCCCTTCCCAATAGATGAAAGTGGTATCATGTTGAATTTATCCTCGCCCAAACCAGCCTCCTTTTTGCAGGCGACCATGCAGATATATCAATAAAAAGGATCAAAAGGAAAAAAAAGGCTTTTTCGAAAAATGTCTATGCTCTCATGCTTTGAGTTGTTGAAAACAAAGCAAATTCATCACATTCGTCAAAAAACAAAAGACAACAAGCCCTACACGGTCACTCAGGACGCATTTAGAACTTGAGAGTCTTGGGCTTCTCCCAGGGGAAGCTTTGGTTGGTGAAGTGACCGTTCTTGGCAGTCTGGAAGTAGATGGGCTTGGCAAGGTCGAGCTCCTTGACAATGACACCAGGGCGGAGATCGAAGTTCTTGCGGATGATCTCGACGAGCTCATCC